CTTTGTAATTATATAAATTCGATATATCGTGCCTGTATCCAAATATACATTTTGTCTAAGCGATTATTGTTCACGGACGAACGGGCCGTAGTCGAAGGATAGGGACAGCCTTTGTAGAATCTTAGGGACTTTTTGCTATAACCTTAGATGATTAGCGAAGAGAGAGAGAGAGAGAGAGAGAGAGAGAGAGGTGTACAAGTGGAAGGGGGATGAATTAACAAATTTACTGTGCAATTAGGAGGTGATGCCCTTTGTTTATTGATTGATTGTTTCGATTGCATGTGCATAACTTTTATTATTCTCGTCAATCTGCGACTATGCAATACTTTTGAGTGTGCGCGCGCATACGCATGAGTTGACTGGGTGGGTACGTTTGAGCGTATGTGTATCGCGATGAAAAATAAGTCGAATTTTAAAGCGAGCAATCAATCGGTCACCTCGACAAATATAAAATAATTAACAGACGGAACACTGCCTCGAATTCGTAATTAACGTATCGGTATCCCCTTTCCTTTTATTCTACGAAGCTCGAGCGAATCATTTTCCAGCCGTCCGACAAGTAAATACAAATGTGTATATAATTTTTTCTCATCCTCGTGGAGCTTACGTTTTCTTGTTCCAACCAAGATGAAGAAAAATTGTATATCTACTCCCGAGGGGTGGGTGGGCGGGGCACGAATAAGAACAACAACAACAACAACAACAACAACAAAAAACAACAACGAGCCTTTCCTTTTAAGGTGCCAATTGACGACGAATTTAGTTTCTTTTTTTCTTTATGTTTTTTTTATTATTATTTTTTTTTTTTTTCGGGGGAAAAAGAAAAAATACCATTATTTCGATCTGATACGGTTAAACAACGAGAATAAAGGAAGTAACATGTACGAATACTCGTTTGGGTTTTGCAGAAGAACTTGGAATTTGCAATTTCTCTGATCTCACTATACCTGTTTGTCTTATAATAAGCGTAAACAACTTATTGAAAACTGTAAGTAATGCAAAGACACTTAGGTACGTGTTGGTGTACTTTAAACAAAATAATAATAATAATAATAAACGAAAAAACAGAAGGCTTCTCTTTAAAAAAAAAAAAAAAAAAAAAAAAAAAAAAAAAAAAAAAAAAAACCAAAACAAACAAAAAAACTAGAAAAAAAGGATAAAACGGCTTGCAAAGAAGACGACGTACAAATGCGTCAACACTGTGACTTTTAAAATATTGATATTCGCGAAAAAAACGGGGGCAGTGTGTATAAAGTTATGTAGAAAGGAGATTATATAAGTATATCATAGAAAAATTCAACAAAATAAAAAAAAAAACATTGCAAACAAGCGTACTTTGTGTATTATCAATTTTTTGCTCTCCGAGATGGTAAATGAGAATAATAATGTGGATAATGATATCGAGAGAAAGAGAAAATAAAGATATAAACGGGGTAGAGAGAAAGATAGATAGAGATAGATAGATAGAGAGAGAGAGAGAGAGAGAGAGAAAGAGATACTCGTCCTACAATGTAAATATCGATTGCTATAAATATATATATATATAAATATATAAATATATAAATAGTATACATAAGTCGCATCTACATATACATATTATAAATACGGAAGAATAGAAGCATTAGGATTTACTAAAGTAAGGGATTTAAAGAAAAATAAAAACCAACAACACTCCAGCAACCAGCGGAAAGATGCACCATATACACATTTAGGTAGTTAGCTTATTCTCATTATTGATAAAATCGTAACTTTGGTAGTCTATTTTCAAACAAGAATTAATTTAATTGATAATCGTCAATAAACGACGCATGCATAATGAAATTACGACAAAGTACATCAATAATTTTTTAATTAATGCTGTTTGTAGATAATCTAAGAATTAAAAAAAAATACATGAAGATGTATTCATTTTATTATTATTATTATTATTATTATTATTATTATTTTATTTTTATTATTTTGATTCTTATTAAATAATAAGCTATCATCTATAATTATATTATTATTATTATTAATTAATTAATTAATTAATTAATTAATTATTAATTATTAATTATCATCCGATCATTATTGTCATTGATTAATTAAATTACAAAAAATATGATATTTAAATGTTTAAATGTTGTCGAACATGGCGAGAACTGGAGAGAGTAATACAAAAAAAAAAAATTGAGCGCTCTTAGACGTTTTATTAATTATTATCATAAAATGAAATGGTTAGAAAAGTAGATATGGTTGAAGCGGTGATGATGATGATGATGAGAAGGAGGAGGAGGAGGAGGAGGGGGAGGAGAAATAAAAGTAGTAGGAGAGTGCGAGAGATGTCGATTATGTGTACGGATGTGTGTGCGTATGTTCGGTGCAACTCTGTGGAAAAAATGAATTAATAAGTAGTAGAAACAAAAATGATGCAGAACCGCGATGAAAAATGTGTTCGATCCGTGGCGTGCGTGCATGCGTTGTTTTCTCACGCGAAATACTAAAAGGAAATAGACGAACGGATGAAAATCATGATGCTGTGTATTGGGGGTCGGATAATGGTTAATAAGTGAAAGAGGGATGACGGTCGATTTATTTATTTATTTTTTTTTTTCTTTCCTTTTTTTAACACTTCTTAACGACACGTCAATTTTGTTTTCAATCGATACCACACGGGCAAATGCCGTCGCCCGTCTAACGAAATCTGCCCATTATTTATAAATTTGTAATTGCGTTCTTAAACGTATTACGAACCTCGACTGTCGCGATGGTCAAGGCTCTTCCATTGGCTGCAATTCGAATTTCGTGCCAGCGATTTGCAATTGTAGTGAAAGAAAGAAAAAATTCGAATTGGATCCACGACGGGAGATTTTCTTAGACGGCGTAGGCGAGGCTCATCGCGATTAGACGCCATTAGCAAACGATATTGCTCTACAGAAATGGAGTTAATTTGCGAATCACCCAAGTGAGACGAGGAGGCAAAGCCCTCCTCCTCCCGCGACTCCCACTGCTCCCCACAAACAAGAGACGAATAACAACAATAAAACAAACAAACAAACAAACAACTTCCCCAGTGTCTTTAGCTGACCCTCGAAGGAATAATAACAAACCATTGCGAAAGACCGTCCCCCCATAATCATGGTAGTTCAATTGTGAAACCGCGGGCCGGCGGGTCTGAGTATAATTTTTTGTACTGTGTAAATGTAAGAACATACGTTTGAATAAGAAAAATGTTTATATTATGAAAAAAAAAAAAAACAAAAAAAAAACAAAAAAAAAATGATGTTGCTTTTGTTCGTTTTACCCATACCAACGCGACTCTATAGTTCATAAGTGTAAATAAATTCAATTTTCTGATTTAGTAATAAATGTTGGATACTTTTTTTTTTCATTTACGAAACAGCAGCATTCGACACATATTCAACAAGTCTATACGACGAAAAGGTCTGAAAAAGCACCCCGTGTCTTACAATTTTATTACTTACTCGTACTAGTCAACCATTCGTCCTTATCCCTCGTCTCCATAATCTTCCATCCGTCGGTCTTCCCTTTACTTCTTCACTTAAGCCGATTCTCATTGTAATCGTTGGTGAGCGATAAATTGGCAACTTTCGAACGGACGATTAAAAAAATGTTGTTTCATTCGCTTATCATTCACGTCATCGAGAGCTCTCGATTTGGCGAGATTGCGCGCGTAAAAGTACCCGATGCTAGTCCGGGATGGGTGGGAATAGATATGAGGACTGGGCTCGTTATAAAAAAATATAGAAGAGGTTACGGAAGAGTTTTGGGGCTTTTTGAGGTGACTAATGGAGGTTGGATCCGACTACCTCCTCATTCGCGATTTCGATCGTCACTTTGTAAGATTCTCTACTAAGCTTGGCACTTCCTCGCAATATTTCGTCAAATTGAGGGCGAGCGAGATATATATATATATATATATATATATATATATATATATATAGAATGACACATATTATTCTTGTCCGGATATAAAAATATTTTCAATCACACTTGTTGCGCGCACGTGATCCATGTACATTGTTCATACTCACATTTCTGCTCCTTCCCACGCACTTTCTAACTACCCACCTCACAATTATGAGACATCAGCGTGAAAGTAGCATTAGTTGGAGGAAAGGCTGAAAGAAAACAAACGTCTGATACACCAAGTAATTAATATTGATTTGAAATTAATGTGTCAACCATGTTGCGTATGTGGAATGTGAGCTGTAGCGACGACTATATACATATGTTATGTACAATACATTAGCCCGCAGTACATGTAGTTTTAACATTAAATAAAAAACCTTTCTTCAATGCACGTTTCGTTCGTTATAATTTTTACAAATTGCGTGTGTATATATTGTCATTGATATTTGTAATTTGCTTAATGCCTGTATATTTTGACAATGCGACACTTTTATTTCCAATTGAAATAAATAATATATTAAATGAATAAACATAAATTTGAAACTAACACCGATCTTGATTTATTCATCTCTGTAATCGCCAATAAGTTAATTATTCTCCATTGCACGCGAGAATAATCATTAGTTAATCAAGCGGCCGAATACCCACTCTCGCATGGCTTACGAATCTCCATCTTCTTCGATCCAAGGGAATTAATTTTTATCGCGTCTGTACTTTTT